GTGTTCGGAGGCATTTTTTTGACCGACTCGAGGAGACGGGAGCCGACTGATCAGTCCGACTGCCTTTCTGCCGACGGTCGGCCGTCGGGTTGGTGTGCAGAGGCCTTTACACATTCCATCCTCCACATTTTAAACACTAGCTCTATTTATATTAAAACAGGTGTATTTGACAAATTTCTATTGTAAATTTCTAGTTTATATTTATGGTTCTTGACTTTTGCAGTACATCTACATGGCAATAAACCAATTTCTGACTGACGAACTGTAGAATGGAAATGGTTGAACTGTCTACGAACTTAATGTGGGGGTGAAAATAAGGACCCAACATTTAGCAACATCCTCTGGAGCAGACATTAGCAAGAAAAGACACTTCAAACATGGAGTGAAAGACAGGTACTGAAACAGGAAACAGGAGCCCAAGTATCCGACATGTTGGGCGTATTTGATTTATATTGTTTTTATCTGTCTGCCACCCAGATTCCATAATGTACCCACCACCCACCCTTCTTTCTTTGTCTCAGTTTCCATACCCCTCTCATGCCCCTCTCCCCCTTACTGACTCATATCTGACTTCAGTTGACCGTTCTCACAACAGACATTTGACTTGTAATGGCAGAGAAGGCACAGGTGTAACTAATTATATTAATGAACGCCCCAGTTAGTGCTGCCAATGAGGCAGTAATAGCGAGAACTGGAACACCGACACAGAAAACTGTCACTAGTCTATACACACCAAGCCCAAAGGAATAACTCTGTGCTTTCAGGTGATTTTAGCATAGTGGCCTCACTTGGTATTGCAGTATATCATGGCTCACCCTGGACCAAAAAAAAGAAGCAACTCCAGAGTGCTTGCTCTTATGGGCCTGAGGTTTCTTTTGGCTTATCTGCCCAACAGTGGTGGAATGTAATTAAGTACATTTACTCAAGTACTGTATCTAAGTACAAATGTGAAGTGCTTTTACTTTTATACAACTGTATAACTCTACTACATCTCAGAGGAAAATATTGTACTTACAAGATGTGTTGATTGTGAATGTTTGTGACAAACTGAAGGATGAAGTGTTCCTGCACGGGTTGAGAATATTCTCCTATTTCTTAAGCTAAAAAACAATTTAAACACCCTCTTGGATTAGTTGGAAAATGCATCGTCACAAAGCTGAAAAGAGGGCTGCTTTACTGGCTATAAAGCAACAACAGCCACATTTGGTGTGGTGCAGTGTTCAAAGGATGATTCTTTTTATACATGAGGTCGGTGGATATGACAGTACAGCATGCATAGACGTGTGTATGACTGATAATATTTACATATTTAAGTACCATTTTACAGGTAATATTAATGCAAAAACAATATATTATAGTAAAAGTACTTTAAGAAAAATACTTTAAGTCAATTGTGCTTATAATACTTACATATAAAAAATATCGGATCGTGATATTTTCTCATGTGATATTGTATCGATTTGAAAAAAAATGTTTTGTTACTTTTGTTTAAACTTGCAACTAGACGGCAGTGTTGTAAACATAAACAATATACAGTATCTCCTGGCTTACAGTATCGCAGTATGTTGAATCGTAACCCCTGTATTGTGGCATGTATCATTTCACCAGATTCTTGCCAATACACAGCCCTACTTGGAACGCATAGTCCAGTTCTATTAATACCTTCATGGTGCAAACGTACATTGTCCTGAGATGAGGTCTAATTAGGCAAAATAAGTGAATACACCTGTTTGGCTGGATAGTGGGTGTGTAGGGCCTTTAACAGGAAATTTCAGTTTGATAGAACTGTAATTTATTAACATAGCTGTGGCCATCCTTTCCGTTAGTTATAATGACATTGTACTCACTGAGTGAGTTGCTGAGTTCTTCCTTATACACAAGTGTGACAGTCAGATGATCAGACAGATTGCCAAAGAGGTCACACCTAACAACTATAACAGTCTTTCTAATGTGCATGTTGTTTCCTCCTATTGCCTCATGCAGAATATTTATTTATGTATTTATTAAGTTCAAGATATAGAGCCGTACAATGTATAGAAACCTTGTAACTGGGGCACATGGTGGAGGGCGCCCCAATGTTGGCTGGGTTATTGCCACAGTGGCCCAGGTTCGGTTCTGACCCGCAGCCCTTTGCTCCCGTCTATCTTTACCTTTCCCATCAAAATAAAGGCATAAAAAGCCCAAAACTATATTTGAAAAAAACAATTTCTTAAGGGTTGATGTTGCAATGAATGTTTGAAAAACCAAGTATATGCTATTCAACAAATGGTTAACTGATCGATTAGTTGATGATTGTTGGATTGCTTGCCAGCTGTTTCTCATGAAGTTCTAAAAAGGTTCTGAAATACCTTTTTATACTACAGTTTTTTCTGTGTGTGTTTGCAGGTGAAGGCAGTGAAACTGGGTCACATATTAGTGATCGACGAGGCCGACAAAGCTCCCACTAACGTCACTTGCATCCTCAAAACCCTAGTGGAGAGCGGGGAGATGATTCTGGCTGACGGACGCAGAATTATCTCAGGTACGTGCATTTACACACTCATGCAGGGTTTAACACCTTGACAACAGACATGTCCCAGATACAGTGTGCTGATAGAAGTAGGACCATTAAATGGATGAGATGAGGATTGGATGTCCCAGAAGCCAAACAGGAGTAAAACATAAGATGCAGGCCACTAATGGAGGCTTAGGATAAAAGCCTTTATGGACAGGTACCAATAGATTCTGGATCATGCTGGACTGTAAACTGTAGATTTTTCAAGCAGTCCCACGCAGTCACACTACTTGCTGACAGCTTCTCCATTCCCGCGAGGCTCTTCTTCCCTGAGGAATGTAAACACAACCTTGAGACTTCATAAACACAAACTTGACACAGCTCCCGATGCTGTGAGAACAGTAGAGGTGTGTGAGAAATTCAGTCACGGTGTGAGTGAAAGTGCCCGTTGTGGTGTGTTTGTCTGCTGGTCAGTCCATGTGCTAACTGGGACTATGTCTCCTCCAAAGATCCACGTGAAGCTGAGGGGAGGCCCAACACCATAGTCATGCACCCGGACTTCAGGATGCTCGTCCTGGCTAATCGACCTGGTTTTCCTTTCCTGGGAAATGACTTTTTTGGAGCTCTAGGTATACACGCATGCACACAACACCCACAACCTGCAGCAGAGGACCAGTAATGTTCTCTTTTTATTTCATAACAAACTCTACAGTATATTTAAAAACTTAGCTGCTCAGATAAATTTGAAAAAGAAATTGGGACTGAGGTGGCTCCTATTAGATGATCTGATCTAATTGTTCTCTGCCCTTCTGTATCAAGGGAGAAAGAGATTATCTGCTGTTTTTATGAGTCCACTAAGTACTAAATGTGGTTGTTAGATATCCACAGAAAAGGGGCCTGTCTCAGGAAACAGTAGAGATAGCAGAAATTGAGAGAATGTAGAGATTGGGAATGACATGCAACAAAAGTCCCTGAGCAGTCTCAAACCGTAGACGGTGCAGCTCATGGTTGGCACCTTGAACCCCTAGTCCTCCAGGGGGTCCCAAGCAGAATCTCTTTAGATGTTCAACCGATAAGTATACTCACTGAAGCCTGGAATTTGAGAGTCATTCATGATCTAAGCATTTCATTTATTTCTATGAAGAAAACTACATTAAATAGTTACTTTTAAAGTTTAAGATATAAAGATAAAAAATCTCACCACATAAGGGCACAGTGAGGACTTGAACACAAGCTATATTTACAGACCTTCCCTCTCTGATAAACACCCTCTTCCTGCATTAGTACACAGTTAAAACTGCCAAAGATCTAATAGAACAATAAAAAAAACACAGAATTTTTCAAAAAAGAAGCACAAATAAGTGTATTTGATTATTTAAAAATGGAAGAAATTATAATAAGGACACGAATTATATAAAAACATTCCTGACAATATCAGTAAAAACTCATCTCTGATCAATATTCACAGGAAAATAATCTGCTAAAATTCATCCAAATCACTGGTTTTACACAATCTCCCGGCAGTTATTGTGTTTACTGTTTGGGTTCATTGAACAGTTTATCAGTTGTGCTCTACTGTTATTGTTATGCATTGAATATAATATGAAATATCCATAAAATATGTCAGTTTACTCAGTGATAGAAAAGGGCTCCTTACGGAAAAAGGATGGGAACCACTGTTGTAGATGGTGCTTATCAGCAGGTCTACATCTGCAGGTTGAAGGGTTAGGGTTAGGGTTAACTGCAGGTGACACAGCTTAGACTGTAACTTCCTTTAGGTTAGGGTTATAACCTGAGCACGTATCACTACTGACTAGTTATCTTCATCTGAACAGGTGATATTTTTAGCTGCCATGCTGTGGACAATCCAAAGCCCCAGGCGGAGCTGGCAATGCTTAAACAGTACGGCCCTGATGTTTCCATCGCTACTCTGCAGAAGTTGGTGGCTGCCTTTGGAGAGCTAAGGTCTATGGCCGACCAGGGCACCATCACCTACCCCTATTCCACCCGAGAGGTGGTCAACATTGTCAAACACCTCCAGGTAAGAAGATCGACAATATGTATCCCTCAACAGTGCTTTTGCTTTATTATCTGTTTTTGATCAATAATTCATGCTGGATGCTTTAATAATGAAAGAGTGTTCTAACAACACAGCTGTGACAAAGATTGTGCTCCTGCCTCAGCCCAGACCAACAAGAACACGCACACATGGACTCACGCACACACCTCGACATACGCTGTTAAAGAAGAATGGCCGTATAATCTGTAGTTCTCAGACAGAGTTTTCGCACAAGCCCTGGTAATGCTATAAATAAACTACAATGGAAGGCAAACATGGGCAGTTGCAGCTGTTCTGAATGGCCAAACTTGAAGGAAGGGAGAAAAGCCAGCCATCATAGAACAGGGCGAGATGGGATGATAATAAAATATCATGTCATTATTATCCTGGTCAAAATAACTGATTCACGATATTATTACAATAATCATGAATTAAAATTCCACAAGAACATACTGGAATCACTTTACCTTACATTTTGTCATTGTTTAGTTATGGAATCCATAGAACACACAGTAGTACACATCTACACATCAGTTTGAACTTTTTTTTGGGACTTGGAAAAGCTGAGCCTTCAGTCATGATGACAGGAAAAAGGAATCAGGAAATCAAGATAGAATTGTATATTAATGAGCTATCCAGCTTGTTCAAGTCACTCCCAATAATGCAAATTCACCATGATATACTGTCTATGTATAATGAATAATAATAATAATAATAAAATCATATATCATCCCGTCCGTAAAGGATAATCATGTATTACTCCTTGAAGGCATAGGCAGTGTTGCACCTCACAAAAACAACAGAAAGAAATATTTGTATAAAGAATGGAGATAAAAAAGAGATTGAGAGACAAGTTCAACACACATCTGGCCCATCACTGCGTGGAGTGGGTGTAATGAATGTCTGAATGTTGAACATTTCCAACAGTTTCCAACACTGTAAAGGTTTCTGCAAGTCTAAAAAAAAAAGAAATGGCATGGTAGTCTAAAGCAGTGGTTCCCAACCTGGGGGTCGGGATGCCCACAAATGGTCGCCAAAGGTTTATGGTGCGGTTGTGAGGCCTTTGTGATTTTAGGGCTTGTAAGAAAAAATATACACAGTAGGCCTGTATCTCAGCATTTGGTTTATTTCTGTGAAGAAAGAGAGGCAGGGAGATGCAGGCACAGAGAAACACATCAAGCATAGGTAAACAGAATAAATCTGAGGTTAGGGTTACATGTTATATACAATAGATATTATGTGTCTGTAAATTTACTTACTGAATTCCATTTAAATTACAAAGTACCCCCACCATTGTCTCTGCTTTTCTGTCCTCCCACCCACCCATTTCACCATTCGTCTCTCTACTTCCCTCATTATTCACAAATTTGCATCAACTTGGCACATCCAGTAATTTTCACATCCTTTGGAAATCTGATATCATCAAAGTAACATATTTCATGCTGAATGTGACCCTTGTATTCAATCTGTATGAATTACCAAACAGACGTCAATGGGAAACAATTTATTTATCCCAAGTTAGAGTTGGTAGCGATGAAGTGATGCTTGAAAAAAAAAAAAAAAAACATCCCCTCAAGACACAGTTTAACATACTTAAATGTTTAGCAGATAGCATTGTTGCCATGGTTACCACAGGTTTTATTCAGTTTTATTGCTTTTATTGCCTTTGTGGTTTGATTGTTTCAGTAATAAGCAGCTTCTCCACTCTTTTATCCCAGCAGCATAAATGCATTTGCATTTAATGATCAGGGTTGTCACATTCCCCTGGCCCCTTGTGGTCTTTAGAAAAGTACACTGTATTTAGTCCAGACAGGAGGAGAAATAACAGCAAGGGAGCAGAAGAGGAGGGCTTAGAGAGGAGGAGAATTAAGATTCCAGCTTGTATTAGTGACAATCAATAATTCAGTGCACAGGGACAAGCCCTAATGTTTGATTTCCCCACTGGCCACCCTGTTCTGTCATCAATCACCACTGCTTTTGACATCTACAGGAGCGGGACAGATATGGGATAATTTAGTCCGAGTCTAAATTGCTTTTTCTGAGGCAATGGCCTGTTGTAGGGTCTAATTACCTTTTACATTTGGTCACAATTGTGCTTCTGTGGTAACCGAGAATCACATCGATACAGCCCGATGCTCTTTAAATTCAATCAATGTTTTACTTGTAACCAGTCAGGATTATTGATTGTGCAGCAATTTACAGGCTTAACGGTATAAATACATTGTAATATGTAGGTCAGAAAGTGCATCCTAATAATGCCTCAGAATCCAGGGCTGTTAAGTCATTACAAGCATTGTGTCTTTAAAAGTGTATACAGATATTAAAATACAAGATTACTCTCATTAAGACTGTAGACAGTGTTTTTAGAGTGAAGCAGCTGTTATGATCATGTTATGTTCATTTTCTATCAGTTATACTAATGGGCACCAGAGGGGTGGATATTGAACCTTTGTTGTTTTCTGGTGTAAAATCTAACAGCGAGTATCGAACGCTGCTATCAAATCATAATTATAATCATCCTGTTTGCCTCTTCTTTCATCAGATTGTTGTTTAAACCAAAACCTTGCCAATGTCAGAATATTTAATTTAGACAAAGTTCTTATATAACTCATTTTGCTGAGCAGAGATGGGTACCAGAAATTGGATACCAGAAATGTACTAGTTGATGCCAGTGAAATTCCACCATTCTCAATACCCAATTTGATACCGCGGTAAAAAACAAAAACAAAACAATAAATCCTATGTACTTCAACATACACTCCTGTATTATAAACCGTTGAACATTACAAACAACAGCAGTGGCATGTAGCCTTCAGGTAATAGATAAAAAGAAACAACTACTCAGTGTACTCTGCTTATCTGTTAGCTTTCCACTCTGCAGTTGATCAATTTGTTTTCATATAGATTGTCTGCCAGTCAATATCAGCCTACATTAATCAATTTTAAAATCACAGTTAGTGGTTCGTGGTCAGTTTGGGACTCGCCATAGTTACTGTACAATACAGAACATTTATTTAATATTATCCCTTTCATTGCTCTCACTATCCTCCCTCCACCTTTTCACCCCCCCTTTCTTGTCCATTTTTTCACCAATGACTGTCTCTTACGTCCACCCCTCTTCACTCTCTTAACTTCCTCTTCCCTACCTTTTCCCTCCCTCCTGCCTCCCAACAGAAATTCCCAGATGAGGGTTTGGCCAACGTGGTGCGAAACGTCTTCGACTTTGACTCGTACAACAAAGACACGCGAGAGGTTCTGATCGAGGCACTGCACAAGCACGGGATTCCCATCGGAGCCAAGCCCAGCTCTGTCACACTGGCTAAGGAGTAAGGCATCAGGAGCACAAGACACTAAAGGAAAAACCACGCACACGCACGCTAAGAAAAGGGTTAGAGTAGGGCGATGGATGATAAATGGGCATTACTTGACAGCATACCTGGCTATGTGATAAATCTCATTAAAATGAAGAGATTGAGAACCCTCACCAGTGGGCCACCACAGCTAGGCTAAAAGTTTTCAGAGTTTTTAGAGAATGCTAAGGTGTCCTTACTGTACTTTCAGAGCAGAGCTGCAACTATTAGTTCACTAAATGATTAAAAGAAAATAGTTGCCAGCTATTTTGATAATTGATTATTTCAGTCAAGCAAAAAATGTCAAACATTTGCTGGTTCCAGCTTCTTATAGTTAGAAGCTGATTTCGTCACAGATTATTTGTCTCATGTTCTACTGTCAGGATATAGTAAAAGTTTCAGTAAATTAAGTTACCTACTGCAGCTTTAAATGTAAAGATTTGCTGCTTTTCTTTATTGTGTATGATAGTGATTGGACTGTTGGTTGGACAAAAGAAGCCATTTAAAGACACTTTAGGCTCTGGGATATTGTGATGAGCCTTTTTCAAAAAGATTTGACATTTTATAGACTGAACAATTAATTGATTAATGGTGAAAATAATCAGCAGATTAATGGATAATGAAAATAATCGTTAGTTGCAGCACTACTTCAGAGAGGACACCCGACAGTGACTGATAATGTAAAAGTACAACCCTTTTTTGTGTTCTCCTGCAGTCCCCATTGGAAAACCATTTTTCTTGCCAAGTGGAGTTCTTTCTCTGGGTTCCAAATTGAAATCTATCATAGTGTTCTAGTTAATTGGGTTAACTCCTAAGTCAACATACCCTAGATAGATATTTGACATGTCCCAGCAGTTAAAGATGCTTATGGTTTTCAGCATTATCTTAATAGATGACAGATGTTTTTTTTAATCCTGAATTACAGTTTTAATAGCCTTGATTTTTACCCCATGTCATTATGTTGTAGAATAATACTGACGATAAAATTAACACAAATTACAATCTATATTTTAGAAATCAAGGCTAACAAAACATTATTTTTTTTATCACTTTTTAACCCTCCAAAGGTTCCCAAAAAAATTGCTCCTCTGAAGTGGATTTGTTCTTGATATTACTGTTTTTACTGTCTCAGAACTTTCCCAGAAGCTTGTCAGCAGAAAGTGTTTTCATAGAGGCCAGAAGTTCTAGGTGGAACACTTTTGAAACTTCCTTTTGCGGAATTACCTGTAAGACATCAATTTCTAATTTTAGAGGATTTGTTACTTTACGAAATGAAATCCTGAAATGCTTGAAATGGGCAAGACATTGTTGTCTTCAGCCCTGTGACTGGATTTTGAGGCTTCCATGAAGTCTCCTCTCTGCTTCCTGAAGTGTTAAATGAATGGCTGTCTATAGATCACTCACATTACCTCACCTTTCCCAGAAGGGGAAGATAACATTACATTGTCTCATTATGTACAGCTTTGTCTTTTAAATAAAGGAAAATATTTGTTTCTCCTGTCTCCTGTGCTTTTATTTAGACCTAGAACGTCCATAAATTCAGTTTCATGAATCTCTCAAGTAGAATCTTGGGAAGAGCGCAGGGCAGAAACAAGTATTTTCCTTGAACAATCTGATTGTATAGATTATGTGTTTGATAATGACTGTAATATATGCTACTAATATGCATGCTAATAAGCAACTAGTTAATGGTGCAATTGTGTTCCTTAATATAAAGTCTTACCTCATTAATAGTATTAGTTATATCTCAGGAATTCACACTTTTATTAGGCGTCACCAGGCAGTTGTCATCAGTTGTGACCTTCCATCTCTAGGTTGCCCCTGCCAGAGGTCAAGATGACAGGGTACTGGACAATAAACCAAGGTGTCAACGCTCGCCGCAAACTGCTCTGTCCAACTGAGACACACCTCATAGACATAAAGGTAAACACACATACTCTCATATAGACAGTCTTGACAGTTCACTAGCAGCAAATAACTGTGTGTTCCCCCACATCTCCCATCTCCACATCTCTGTGCTTAAATAGTAATGTGACCAGAATCACCCTCACACACTATAGGTTTAAATGTGGCTGTGGTCAGGTTGAACTGGAGTCAGATTCTATTAGCGTGGATTTTACAGCACATTAAAAGTAGGATAACATTTCTAGAAACTATATTATTTTGCTAAAATACACTGCTTCTTTCTTGGGCAGTCATGCCTGCTATGTTAATCATATGGATGCACCACTGAGAAGTAGATTATACTACAGCAGCAGTTGACAAGTTTCTATGGAAATTGCCACAGGTCTTAAAAGTACTTAAAAGTGCTTAAATTAAAAGAATAATATTGAAGACATGACAGATTAAGCCTAGCAGAATCTCTGAGTTTGAGCCTCATCTCAGAGTTCACCTATGATACCATTCATACATTTGGACTGCTGGGCCAAGCTTGATACACTTTCTTCTTATCTATCACTCTATGCCAAGGTTGTTTTTTTTTTTTGAGTGATGTTCCACAATATTTTATTTGGCATAATCATGAATTCAACATTTGATACCTAAACATTCAGTGGCCAATAAATTCTTTTTTTCACTCCTTTTTATTCTTACATACACACATACGTTGAAATGCGCACTTGTGGACATGCAAACAGGGAGAGAGATGTGCTCGCCACAATACCGGCGCCTATGAGCAGTTTCTTGG